ACCATGGCGCGGGGGTGGCCGCCCAGGCCACTGGGCCTCATCCTGGGGCTCCGCGGGGTCCCCACGTCCCCAGGGCCCAGTGACCCGCCTGAGCCCCTCCTTCCAGGCGGGAAAGGGACCCACGGGGGGCGGTGAGGTGGCGGGGCGTCTTCTGTCGGGGCGACGTCACCCCACTCCAGGGACACTTCTGGAAGCTTCTCGGGGGAGCCAGGGGTGGACTCGGCCATGGGGCAGCCGCATGGCCTGGTCCGTGCAGCAGCCCAAGAGCGGCTCGGTGGCCCTGTCCCCTCAGCGTGGCCTCCTCCTCCGTGCGGATCTGGGCCCCACGTCGCCGGGGGACCTTGCGCTGTGTCCCACCCTCTCTGGGCCGCAGGTTTCTTGGTGGGGACGTGGTCTGTGGCCGAGGCTCCTGGGGGCCGTTGGGCCTCGAGGTGGGATGGGGGCCTCGTGGCTGGTGACGTCCCCCGGTGGCCACTTTCTGGGGAGAATGTGCGGCCTCAGCGGGCATCCCTGGACGCGGGTCACGGCTCTGTCCCTCCTGTGCTCCGTCAACATTTATTGAGCACTTACTGTGTACCCGGAACTCCAGTGGGGGTGGAGAATTCACATAATGATGCCAACAGTCAGGAGGGGGAAGGCAGGGACCCGGGGGGCCGGGGTAGCCTCCCGAGGAGGGGACGTCTGAGCGGAGATGCGCGCATGGTGGAATTCACCAGAAGTTAGGAAGTAGCCAGAGCTGACCAAGGCCCCAGGGCAGGGCGCAGCCTGGTGATGGAGGAAGGAGCCGGCTGCGACCCTGCGGAAGGTGGGGACGGCAGTGGAGGCCCAGCAGCGACTTGCCCTGGGTCTGTTTTAAAGTCCCCTGCGTTCTGAGGGCAGAGCTGGGCTGGGGTGTTTTCAGACCATGAAGGGGTGGAACTGGGGTTCTAGAAGGAGCCCAGGGACTGAGCTGTCACAGTCACAGAGAGAGACGGGTGTAAGCCTGAGGTCAGAGGTTAGAGGTCAGACTACCACAATCCAGTCTGCAGGGTCTGGAGACAGTGGAAGAAACCCAGTCCCAGTGTCCAAAATAAAGAGGCAGGTGGATCTCTGTGAGTTCGAGGCCAGCCTGGGCTACAGAGTGAGTTCCAGGACAGCCAGGGCTGCACAGAGAGACCCTGTCTTGAAAAACTTAAAAAAA